GCACCCGTCACTCACACAATTTGCATAGAAATACACAGTATCTGTTTGTTCCCTGACGCCTGACAGCAGTACTCCTGCGACGGCGGTCAGTAAACAAACCAGACAGTGACCTACGTTTATAACGAACACGGTTATAACGAACTGACGGATATAACGAACTATGTTTTGGTCCTGTCCATTTGATGTATATGTTCCGTACATTTGCTTATAGCGAACTACGGTTATAACGAATTAAAATAAGTGGTCCCTTTGAGTTCGTTATAACCGTAGGATAATGTACCATGTTTGACATAAGCGAAATGTTTACAGCATCCTTTTGCCAATGTGATTAATGATATGTATTTGTTTGCTTCATCTAATTGTACCCTCAAGCATGTTCAGTCGTGTACAATTGTGCAAAAGGTAGGTATAAATCAAAAACATCACCAACACTTAAATATGATAAAGTTTAATTGCTCCTTGTAACGAGATACATATCAAAAGTTTGTTGATTATTAAACGTTGAATGCAGTGAAACTTTAAAAAAGTTTCATCTCGCCTCGATAAGGGGTAAGAGTATTAACGAGGCGCAGTGTTCATGTGAACCTTCAAGCTACATGAGCTATCAACCCAAATTACTTCTTTGCACTGATCTTGGAAAACGAATGGCTGAAAATAGGAGGTCGAGATGATTATGTCAGAGCGCTTACTAGGTTTCTGTTTTGATCTATTTAGGAAATAAATCCATATGTTTAAGATTCGCTTCCCGTTTCTTTGAACTGATGGACTTAAATCAATAAATCTTGTCTGTTATAGATATATAGACGTCTATCCATGGCTTATTTCATGATCACAAACTCTCCTGATCAGGGTCTGAGAGGATTTCCGCACCACTAATATACACTTTATACACAGATATGATATCGGGACTCATCAAAAACGTTTTTGTATATGTAGTATACATTCGTATGTACAAATTACTCATTCAAAGTATAACGGTTACTTTCACTATGTATCAATCGAAATATTTTGTATCAATTAGAAACCTATTATTACATTTATGTTATAAAAAAATGATATTAGTTGTTAGATTACGCCTGAATGATCACAACCGTATCAAAACTGCAAGACATATAGGCTGATATATGAACATCAAAGCCAGAATAGTGATATACAATTGTAAACTGTCTTAACACAAAGCGGTAAAGGGCCTACTCCTGCCTTCAACGCTTACCAATAAGGTATATTCTGATATAAAGGAAAATAACAAGGAAAATATATACAATGTCAACAACGTTATAAAATAACATTGAGTCAACTATAGTATCCTTTACACAAATAATATATAGTTTGTGTCCATGCACGCACATCCACGTATATTCCGGAAATGTATGGATTAATGTTATGTATTTATGCCAACATAAAGCACTCAAATGAAAAACGTAGACACGCTTGGGATTGTACGTACATGACTACTGTAAAATATCACTAAAGTTCCATTGCCCACTATTGGATATCATATAGAATTTGCATCGCAAGTATGGGCACAGCTGCAGGTGGTCTATTCGTGAAGGGGGCACGGGTGGCCCAGTTGTCTAAGGCGCCGCGATTCGCTGTGCAGAGTTGCGTCCCTTGGGCACGCCAGAAACCTATGATTGTGGGTTCGAATCCCGGTTCGCCCCGATTATGTTTCTAGGTTTGTCAGCACCATACCCGTGCTCGTGGGTTTCACCGAAGTGGTAAACGTCCGAGGCCTGCATCACTTCGGGCTTTCCTCCCACATTAAGCTGACACGCCGTGATATAACTGGACTAATGTTAAAAGCGGCGTTAAACCCAACTCACTCACTCTATTTGTGAAAGATGCCGCAATTTCCTGTGCAGTGTTGTGTCCATTATACCTGCCTAAAACCTCTGATCGTGGTTTCGAATCCAAGTTCGCCAAAGTAGTAAACATCAGTTCGAGCTTTCCTCCCATAGTAAGTTGACAATTTCATTGAAATGCTGTTGAGGCGGTGTATAAAAACAAACTCACTCACTCACTCGTATGAATTTGTCTTGTATAAGGTACAGGGTTCTAGTTTGTAGAGGTTACACGGGTCACATTTCTAGGAACTCTTTGTTGTACCTTGATTTCCTTCCACATCAAGCTGACACACCATTATATAACTGCAATACCAGTCACAGCGGCGTTAAACCCAAATCACTCACGAACCCATTAACATATATAACGATCATAGTCTGTGCATCCTATCCAATGCATATACATCCCTTCTACCCACCCTCATCCAAGAAAACCCTTGTTTTAAACGGCACTAAACAGTTTGGGTCCTGAACTATGAACGAGTGAAGAATGAGATCATAACGAGAACATACAGCTAGAAATCAACTGCTTGCATTCATCGAGACAACGAAATGTTCCTATGGATCGTCTTAATGAAGCTTTTGAATAGCTCATCAATCACTACCTAGTGCAGGAAAACCTCTTTATTTGGACCTCTGTTTCCATTAGAGTGTCGCCCATGAACTGGTCAGATTGGACGTGTGTAATGAGTACCAGTTTAAGTATTCCTGAGAGTATGACTTGGTACACTGGTTAACATCTGTGAGTACCAACAGAATACAATTCATTATTCTAGTTTAATAAGCGTTGGATTAGATTCCATCACAATCCATGGTAATTGCGTTATCCCCGTGTGTGATATACATTGATACAACCGTAACATCATGTTCCTGCCAGGATTGCCGAGGAACCAAACATTTGAGCCTCTCGTGTCAGCAATCAGAAATAGCAGCTGGTGATAAATGATAATACTGATCTGTTTCATAAACAATCCTCATCACCATATCAGCAATATGTATAATCCTCCACGGTGTACAACATATTATCAATACTTATAGTATAGTCAGTCAGTGCTCTAAACAGAACAGGTATTAATGATATCAAATAGTAAAATGAGCTTTGATGAACATGTCGTGTTGAGAAATGTCTGAAAGAAACCCTTTAATCAATACGTGATCTGTTCCTGCTGCTTGATTGGGCAAACTGGAAAGAATGATAAATGACAACTTTCAATCTTCTTCCTTTCATGTAACTCCCACCAGAAGAATATGGCCGAAACGTTATTCATTGACTTGTAAATGGAATTGCTGTTAATGATTAATTGGGAAAACATCCGCTTGTGCCCTGTTAATCAGGAACAAGACGAACTGATGAGCTAGCAAGACATTGTTCACGCATGCATACATGCTTTGGTGGGGGTACTTACCTATAGAACCATGCATACATCGTCTGAATGATTTATGTATGTATCATTGCCCCCTTAATGAGTGTTCATCGTGTTACCAATAAATATAATATTGTGGAGACGACACTTTATCAACATTACTATTGGTATTTGACTGTCATTTGCGTTTAGATGAACCTCAGTCAAGTGGAATGTTTGATTGAGACCAGTGATAGAAGCATCATTGACCATAACGAAAACAACTGTGACATGAATAATCTTGTAACGCTGGCTGAAGTCCCTGTGTTGTAAAAGGCTTATCGTGTTATTTGATCCAAACCAGTGAGAATCACTCATAATAAAGTGTTGTTATGATGGACAATGCATTCCTAGTAAACTTAACGAACCTTGAACCGCCAAGAAGCCATGAATGCGTGTTTGGGTAGAACAGTCTTTCACAGCATTACATGTACAAAGGACGCCCACTTTATTTCATTACCTTTAATATAGTTAAGGGAACAAAAGAATTTCTGGGTCTTTCAACTGGTTTGAGAAACACAACTATCTTGTTTCTAAATACATGTCAACATGTCGCCTCTGTGAGAAGAAATAACATACATGTATTATGTACACTGTACGACTCAAAAGACGCCATGCAAACAAAAGGATTATACAAACGTCCACATGTACTCCCTCATTTATTACGTCAATATTTGGTTTCTAATGAAAGTCAAACACACACCCCTTTACTTCTATGGTCTTCTATGTTAAAATCTGAATGAAGAATCTAGACTAGCTGTATTAAGACAGGCAAATGGTGTCAGCTACGTCGTAGCAGAGATTTACATAGATACGGTTGTACATAATTTCATCAGAGACCTTTGTATTATTTATGTGAGGCGTTTTGTTATTGCCTTTGACAAGAGATGAATTTATAGCATTTGACTTTAACATGCCAAACTAGACTTGATTGTCAACAAATGACACCTATACCTGCATTTAAAACACAATATTGTAAATCGTCTATTTGTTGGAACTATTTGATCTGTTTCCAAGGTAACGTCGTCATATTGTGATAACTTATGGTAATTTAAATAATCTTACCAAACAAGTGTAGACTTTGATAATATTGGGTTGATAAACCAAAAAATGCCAATTTAATCTAAATACTCAATGGACCAAAATATGGAGAGAGCATCAGAACCGATCATGAAAGAGACCCACTCGCTGTTAGTGTGTTTATATGTATCGCATATTTCTCTTGTTCATCAACATATATTTCACCCCAAACCAAAATGTAAATAAACAGGCTTCATTTCAACAACATCAAAGAGATCATAAGACTCAGGCTGAAAATATGTCACACAAGTACGTTCTGATGGCTACACATAATGAAATACCATGTTTTATCCAGGGAACATTCCCTGGTGATGTTCAAAGCGTATTATTCACAAATCCCTGTTTCCGAAGAAACGGATACAATAAAAGAATTATTTCGATACCTATTGAAAAGCTTTTTCGCAAAGCTGATTTAGATCGATGAATGCTGCCACAGATTTCGACAGGTGGTTATTACATGGAGGACGATTGTAGCATTTAGTAGATATGATCGATATTGCCCATTAAAACAATAACAGGGCTATTTGAAATTTGTATGCTGCATCGATATTCAACCAGCCATCGCTTATTAAGCAAATTTGACAGACTGTCTCACTGTGAAATCATAGTTAGGTGGTAATATCTCGAAGAAATGGCGTATGAAAAAACGAGACTAGCAACTATTACTTTCACATACCTGATTCCTCCTGTGCTTTGATGGCAATCTGCAATATTCCAGAAAGACAGACTAAAACGGCATTGATAAAATTCATAGTCTCTACAGTCGTCGAGGTTTCCCCATTCACATGTATTTTCCATTAATTAAGCAAATCTCACGTTGAAGGGACGAATTACTACCGTCCGAACAGGCTTCCACGAAGCACACTGTTGAGACTTGCTGTAGTAGGAGGCGTGCCTGTTCATATAACGATCTCGCTAGGTATAGCAGTAGTACACTGCCTGCTTCGCTTTCGTTTGGGATGGATCACGACTTCGCGCTTGTTGCAGTTTTACTTATCATGTCGTCTGCTGTTGATGTGTTAGCAGACGACACTGTTGAGGCCGGCGTGCAGTGTGCGCATAGCTAGTTGGTGCTACCTTGTACGGACTTTGCCGTTTGTGGCCACGCTGAGCCTCGCGCTGTGCGCTGTAATCAATAGAACAGGAGAGAAAGAGCAGGAACTTTTAAACACAAAGAAGTCGGTTACTTAACTTCCTTGGTCGTGACTAGAAGGTGGGTGAAGGGTTATGCTCATTTGGAATATAGCTGCAACGATGTCGTAGGTGGAATCTAATTCTTGTGTTTTCGTTGGACTTCAGATGGATTAAATCAGGTGACGCCATGCAACTGCGCCTAACAACCATATAGAGATATTGGTGTCTTCCCGCGCTTCCTTGGATGCAGCCCAGAGGAAATAATGCATATGCATGGCGCCTTCAATTGCTTATAATGAATTGATCAACATTACGTTAGTTTACTGGATTGTGAAAGCAAATGAACAATACGAGGGGGAAATTAAGAAGTAGAACTAGGTCAATGGATTTTTTTTTTTTTTAAAATACCGGGAAAAAAATAAATCCATGCTATGATGTTGCGTGTGAATCTCAAAAATTGTGTGCAAGAATGATTATTTTGCCTCATAAATGTTTATGGATGTTAGTGGACGTGAACGGAAGGGGTCGTTAATGAGAGGATCACTCAAGTGCAATTACAAATGTGTGTAATAATATTCCCCTGACAACGTACATTTCGATCAACGGGTCAAATATGATACTATAATGTAACTCTTGTCTCCTTGTTCACACTGCAGTTTCATGGCGTGTTGCACTTAATCTGCAATTATTTTCCATTTTTATTCTAATTTCGTCTTTATCTAAAATCGATTCACGCGAATCTGTATTTGACAATAATTTTTACCACGTCACTTTGAACGGTCGATGAGTCGACTGTCCCAAGTCCTATTGGGGAAACACAAATAATTCGGTTCATTATCTCAATCTCACTCTGCGACCACTTTTAGATTCTTTATGTTCAGATGCTGAAATTTCAAATCAACAACACTTGGGAAGACCTCTCATGAGATCAAGCGGAAAATCTGTTTGTCATCAAGGAGACTCGAATTTACGATAATGTCTTCTCCCAATGTTCAGTTCAGGAAATGAATAATTCAAAGTTTAACTGTAAAGATGTGGGTCACTGGAGTGCACTTAAAACCTGCATTCATATCACCAAGTATAATGGGAAAGCTGGTAAAGAAACTCTTACTCGAAAGGTGTCCATGCCTGTATGTTTGGATCTAATCTGTCTAGAAAATTCTGTCTTTGACATGAAATCGTTGATTTCACTTAGAATTGGTCCCCATAACGTAATGGATCGTATGGGCAGACTCGGTAACAGCTGATTGTGTGTCATCATACCCCGATTGAATGGGACGGTGTTCATAATATCAACCACTGGTTTGCCTTACCTCGGCTCGATTAATTATTGGTCGTCGTGTTATTGCGTGATTGTTTTTCTGACAATAAAACAATAAACACAACGTGCACGTTCAGCTAGCTGGAGTAGTCATCGTATTTTGCAACACCGTCCTATGCCTGTTAGCGCCGACGAATGAGCTTTCGCTTTGTGATCTGACTGAGTGTGTGTCATGGTGCCCCGATAGCGTGGCTGGTTGATCACGGTATCAGCCACGTACATGTACCTACCTGTCACAGGTTAGATCAATTACACTTGAACCCTGCAGAGAGGCTGTGGCCAAAACTGTGGGCATACCACGTCGTTCAGCGTAACATCCGTTGTCGTAATGTCGTTGAAACTGATTGAAAACGGCGTCCTAATTAAAAACCTTTAAAATGATATTGAACGATTTCCATCACTGTCTACAGTATCATGTTAGTGTTCTCTTCATTTAATGATTAAGCTCTTAATCCGTCTGAATCCGAGCAATTGGTGATACTATTAAACTGATGGAAACTTGAATCTACTAATTGCTGCAGAGGAAAATCATAGTCACAAATAGCAATTGCATTCTGCCCAGTGAAGACGCTTTAAGGAATGCAAAGAAGCCCAATTTTGGAGTAATCAAATTGTCTGGCGTTACCGAGCAGCTGCCCTTGTTGATATGACCCATATAGATTTATTATTATTATTACAAATAAATGTTGACCAAGAAGGATTACAGGATTTCGAATGGCTCATAGTAAATGTAGTATTTGCTTTAATGAGGACATAAATCCAATCACTACTCTGTAATGCCAGACACAATACATAAGATCCCCTGAACGTTTAATAATGAAAGGTAGCGGATGTATGTGGATTGTTTATGAAGAGCGACTGACTCAGTACCAACGTTAGCCAAAATAATGAGCCATCATTTGACATTTACGCACACTTCAATAGGACCGTATAATCTGTTTAGATTGTTATTGGCGTCTGCGCAATCTCCTTTCAGAATCTATTCCACCATTTGACCGTTTTTCACCCTGCCCAAATGCAGGGAGGAAGGGTCTCTTAACGCCCCGTTGTTTCAATTTCACTCAAAAAAACTTTGTCGACATATCAGTTATTCGGCCGAATCTCCAGCTATGTTTCTAAGCCGAGGGGAAACATTGTCGATGACGATAATGGGGAACGTTGCGAGAAAATAGATTGCTAGGAAATTATACTGAGACCTATGTACATTGGATTATCATTTGTGTCGGAGGGTAGTTTCTGTACTACTTTGTTAAGAATGTCTGTATGTAGTTATAAAAGTAGCAATTTGTTTGCGTTTTAAAACCCTTTTGTGAAAACACATAACAACAAATATAAAAAAACTTGAAATTTAAAGATTCTCAAATAACGGTATTTCAAGCTCTGATGGAGATATATATGTAACAGGGCGTTAAGGGATTATGACAAATCCACGCATCTATGGAACAGAAGGTGAAGGTCAAGATGAACTGAATGTGAACAGACAACGTTGAGGCTCGCTTGAATAAAAAAGAAACTTCTCAAGGTACTGAGCTCCTACAATCTCTGCCCATGCGAAAACGTGGAATAATTCAGTTCGGAAACTAAGGAAGGACCCTCGAGCTAACATAACATTCCTGGGCCCTGCTGGCCTACAACATACATGTATGTTTCAGTAAGATTAAACCATACATGGAAACATAAGCCAGCGTTACTCCAAAACTGTTCTACCATCTTGCAGTTCCTGATTTAAACGCTTTTTATCATAGATTGATTTAAGTCCACATTTTCTGAACTAAAATCAATATGACAAACATCGCTTTTAGCCTGCATCGTTGAGCTTAACTAAAACTGAATATATTGCGTAAAATGAGAAAATACTTCAAATCCATTCCATTATAGCCGTTGGGAACTTTTCTCTGCATGATTTTTCGAAATTGGACTTCTGTGGCATTTTATTGGCCGAATTCTCCAGGGTTATCATGCTATTAAGGATGCAATATTGACGGATCGAGGGGAGAATTATGGTGTTGGCTTAAAATAAAATCAATTAATATTGAGAGATGTTCTCTCCTCACTAATCATGACCTCGTCAACACACGAAACAGACACTTGATACTCACGGGGGTCCAGCTGAGATTAGACATTGAGAGTAAATTATGAATCTAGCAGTAATTGATCCACGTTCCAGTACACTCACACAACATGCGATTATCAGAAACCATTACGAGGTTTGTAATTGTATAAGAAATTAAAATCGTGCATGATAATCTCATTGTCTGAATATATTGCATACATGTATATGTATTTTTTTTCACCCGAGTGTCTTTTGATTTCAAATGTATAAGTAGCAGAGCCATTAGTGATGTCATTTGATTGTGACGTCATGGTAACCAATTACGTCACAATGGTTTGCAAAGGATTGTGATGCAATTTCATTGCAGAGATATCTACAATGTAGTTATCGCTTGATCCCACACAAGCGATATTTGCTGTGGGAGCCAGTTTTAGATGATAAAATATGGTCATTGTCGAGTTCGTCTTTCACGCTTGACCAAAAAGAAATAATGCGCAATGATATGACCTTAAAATCGTTTTCACATCCGTAAGGAAATATAGGTATGTTTTACCGAAAACCAACTTGTTATTTACAATTTACAAGGCTACACTACATCACATGCAAAAGCACCTTTGTATTCCGAACACATTACGCGGGGAGACATTTTGTTACAGTGGTATTACATGAAAATTAATATGCATATTGCACAGGAAAACTTAAAACATTTAAATTCGTCTTACTATCATACTAAGCGTGTTAGGACCACTTTACCACATACAGTGTCTGGTATGAATAGTCTATAAGGCGCAAATGAGGTATGAAGTTTAACTGATAGCTTTTGGGGGGTTCTTTTGTCTGGGACTTCACGAATATACATGATTTATTTAATGTGAAATGAAGACAAGACATATTGGGGCAGGTTGCACCACGGTGAATATATGCATTGAATACAAATACGATATTGCTTTATCGTAATTACCATCCTTCATGCAACATACAACAATAAACATTGAATGCCTTGAAGGAAATACCCATTGCTGAGTCAACAAGCTTATGCTTGCAAGAACTGCATGCATATAGCCGGTACTCGAGTGCACTATTATTCAGTATCGGATCATGGATCATTACAAGAGATTTATAGCACAAGGGGCACATATCTGTCAAGATAATTGACGTAGAAAGATGTAAACAAGGACCTTTCTCCATAACTATTTCTCGGTAGAGTTCACTTGATTGTTTTATTAAATGATTATTCCATAAATTGCCATGTAATTCCCTTACCGTATCCCGTTGGTAGGGCGTAAAGCAAAGTTCATTCATTTACTTATGACCTTTACGCCCACAAATCCCCCCAAAAGTCATCGATGTTATAAATCCACATTACACTACATTACAATAAAGCCATACTTCATAAACAACATAACTTTGTATCAAAGAGCGCATTAATCCTTTTGTTTACCCGACAGTTAAGGATAACATTATGTCATGCTCTATTCGTGTGCATATAACAAGTGGTATTGATTGAGAAGGTATACATTGTGACATTGCTGCTTGAAAATGAATGTATTCTCCAACTCAATCTCGGTTTCCTTTATCGATCAACCCTTTGCTTTGCACGATACAACTCATTCCTGAAGCTTTCAAAGATAATAACGTGATTAATATCATAATAATGTGATTTGTTCCCCTGATTTGAACATTTTTGGCCAAAATGGTTGCATTTGGCTAAAAGGATGGATCTGAACAACGACAGTGAGTTAAAATCATGG